AACTCCCTGCCACGCTTCTCAACACCCCCTACCTTCGGTCACAACAAATATATGGAGACTAAGGGTGTGTTTCTTTGTGCTGGTACTTATTGACTTATTGCTGATAAGCAGTTTATTAACTTATAAGGTGCTTATAAGTCAAATATTCTTTTATGGAAGTAAAATGACTTAAATGATAGATAAGTCACTTGGAAATATTCATAAATGCTGAGAGGCAGTTTTCTAAATAATTTGGTCAAAACGGAGAAACGAAAAAATTGGCTTAACAATAAGTAGCTAAGACCTACTTATTTTTTCTGGCTTATAAGCAGCTTATAAGCACACAGTAACATGTCATCTGCTGACTTATTAGTTAAAAACTGCTTATAAGCAGTTTTGACCGACTTATAAGCACGGAGAAACACCTACTAAATATGAAATATTTTTTTTATTGTTACTAGCCTTGTTAACTTTTAGGTTTGGTCAATCACAACAACAACAAACCCAATATGATTCATTAGACCCTTGATGCATTGATGCCACAACAAATATTGGATTAGCAAAATGGCACATTATACTTTACAAGTATATTTGCTTCTTACTTTCTATGATGTTTTGGGTAGCAAATGCAACGATGCATTAATGATCTATAGGAAACCTCTGTGTAAAAAATGGGGAAACTGTCTACATGCCCTCCTAGACAGCTAGACCCCAACGAACTTAGGATTATACTGGGCTATTTTCGTTATGCTTCCTCAATCAGTTATTCCTGCTTGCTTTTGTGCGTACACCAACTTTTATAAATTTTGAAGTACATGATGCTTCTTTGAACATTTCTAGACTATATTTACAATTTACATCTAGAGTAACTTTTTTATTGTCTTGGTTCCAATGAAAAACTAAACACGCCCGAACTAATAAAATACTTGTGGGCTCCCGACCAGTTGACTAGTTCTTGAATAATTTTCTTAAATATTTAAGGCTGTCTTTTATTCTCATGCTTCCTTAATCAGTTATTCATACTCTCTTTGGTGCGCACACCAACATTTATAAGTCTATATTTACGTTTAAGTCTATATTTACATTATTACATTTTGTCACCACCCAAAGCTATTATGCTGTGACGTCTGGGAGTTAGTTTGGTGTTTAAATCTTTGACCATAGCCTTAATTCCTTATTCTCTTCTATTTTATCCAGAGTAGATTTTTAAGAAAAATTGAACAACAATAATTTTTAAGAAAATTTGAACAGTGCAGAAGAAAATTAATCGTGCAGTATGCGAATTGGTAATTTTAAGATATTCTATGCTTTCTTATCATGAAAAAAAGTCAGAAACCTATTAGAGTCCCAGTGGGAAGCTAGCAGCCTACTCTGTTTTGGTTAACATGAATATATAAATGGTAATACATATTTGAATTGCAGGCAGGTTTTTCTTTACTCTAAGCAACAGAGAAAGGATTGTCATTTTGAACTAAATCCCAATCAAGATCCATTATGAATTGCTACAGGGAAGAAGTCTAAGGAACTCTATAGATATACATATTCTGTTTACCGGGTTCCTGTAGTAAACATTTGAATGTGTGAACACATGGAAAGGGAGTACTATGATATATTGATATACTTTAGATGTATTATTATGGAACTAAAAATAGACCCCATACGGCAGAGCTTCAGGAAGTCTTTTGAATCTGTTGCACATTTAGAGCTCATTTGGTAGGGATAAGACTCAGTGAATATATATAGTTGACCCTTCTATTCTCTCATTGTAGCACATTTGAACATTCTCTTGGAGAGCCTCTAATTAAAAAATGCACGGACAAGATGCGGTCATATATTTCAGAGTTGCTTTGTCATCCTCTTTATTATGGAAATGGATGCGTAAGGGTTCCAGGCGGAGGACTTTTTGATACGCTTGAACAAGGAACCTCTCGGTCTTCTTGGTTATTGAGCATGGAGTGCCTTTATCGGTGTATTATATCAAAATTTTGGTCCCAAGTGACAATTCTCTATCACATATTTATTCTGGAAGTGTAAGATGTAGTGGATGGTGTGACTTGTGAGCCCCTGACCTACAAATGTTTGTAACTGACGTATGCATTGATCAGAGAAAAAGTCTAGATTTACTTTACTTTTACTTGGCAATTCTATTGACATCACAAACTCGATAAACATATTGCTGCTCACTCATTGAGTTGGAGGGTATGCATTTTAAAGTCACCATCAGGCCTTGAGCTAAGAAGTGGCAGAGAGAATTGTAAGCAGGATCTAGATTTTAACTTTTCATATTCCTATCTGGGACATACCCATGTTCAATATCAGCATTTTTCCCCTAAGTGCTCTCACCAGTGTTCTTAGGGACTTCACGTTGCATCTGAAGTTGTTTCCCCAGGAGTCCAGCACCTAAAGATAAAATGCTTAATCATTTTAGCAAATCACTTTCTTGAAGAATGACCATACTATACACTGATGAGGCCAACATTTACAAGGCTTTGATGGGATTTTGTGGCTATGGTTATCCTTCTGCAGCCTATTATGTACAACATATTACATATGTATGAGCAGTTCTGTAAAATTTAAACAAGCTTTTGTTATGAAATACGGCTAGTTGATTAGCTTATGTTGAATCTATATTGTAGTCATTCAGCATTTCAATTTACTTTTTATTCCTAAATTGTACGATACTGATGCTCTTGCATAATTTTTCATAGAATGGCTTATACTAGTAGAATGTAGAAAGCTATTATGTGATTCATATCCACTCTATGGATCTATGTTTTTATAAGAAATTATTCTACCTTTTTGGCAATTTGTGCTTTGAGTCCTTTGCCAGTGGTCTCACTGTTCTACCACCTCAGAGGCTCAGATGCAGCAGTTGATAAGATGGTTATTCAAGAAATACGTAGTATATATTAAAATAGTTTTTCTTTTTTAGTCTAGGAACCTTCCTGCCCTGTCTACGAAATAAACTTTTCCATATATATTACGGAGTATGTTTAAGTCTTTAAATAAGCTTTCTCATTTACTTTTGTCTGGAACTGGAGTGAGCATGATTCAAACTATTTATATCTTTAAAGTTGCACTTCCATGTAATATAAATTGCCCGGTGTGGTATTGGCTGATTATATAGCTAAAGATTCTTAGACGTCAAAGCTGGGGAAAAATTACCAATACCCATTATCATTTGGTATGTAAAATTGCATGTGACTTTGAGATGTTGCACATCCCACACTGACTTGATGTAAGAAAGGTTAAAGTTCATCTGAACTCATCACCTAATTTCCTTATTGAAAATTTGCATCTTCCATTCTGAATATCCAGGATTCCATCAAGATCTCAATATCTTCAAGCTTTTGTTTTGCAATTAGCAGTATTGAGAATTGATAAAAAAGATTACAATGAGATTGATAGAGAATGATGTACATTACCCTCAGAGTTTGAGCTGAATAGCGAAACAAAGTTCAGGTTCCTTTTGTGCTTTAGTGATCCAGTGGTGCTAAAGGACAAGGTAATATGGTGTTGATTTCACATATTATCTTGTGGTTTATATTTATACAATTATATTACATAGGCTTACTGGCTTAGGCATTTTTTTGAATACTGCTAAGTCTTAGGGTATAGTATAAGTGCCTTTTAGCTTGTCTTTTCATAAAGAACTACATATTTTGTTCATCAAATGAGTATTGACTTCTCGTTCTCTTCCCTCTGTTGTGAAGCACATGTGAAAGTTTCTTTTCAAGACCAGCATTAACTTTTCTTACATCCCATGTGTTATTGATTCTTCATTTGATTAGGTCAGCTGCAGGTGTGGTAACTGGTAAGTATACCAATTGCAATGGCGTTCTAGAATTTCAAGGGAGGCAATGTGCAATTGTGCTTCGATCTTTGGGTCAATTGCTACCTGCTATTTCTTTGTTTTTTGGTTTGTGAACCTTAGGTTGGAGAACTCTAGCTACCATTACCATTTTATTGATTATTTCAGTCCAGATTCTCTTTTCTTTCGATAATCATTTTAGTTGTGACAGCTTGCCTTGTTATTATCATTATTTTGTTGATATCAAGTTAGCATTAAGTACACTTTTTCTCTTTGGACAATTCGAGATACCGACTGAGCATTTTCTATCCGCTATTCTACTCTGTTTGCTATGTCTCTCTCTCTTGTCTTTCATCATTTATCTAGATACTAAGGGGCTGTTTGTTTCAGCCTCTTAATGGTTCAGATGTCTGCAGCACTTAATGGTTCAGACTGTTTGTTTCAGCCTCTTAATGGTTCAGATGTCTGAATGGCTCAGACATTTGCCTCTGAATGGTTAAGTATTATACAGAGTCTGAATGGTTAAGACCTCTTATCTGAATTGATCAGACATTTGCCTCTGAATAGTTAAGCAATATACTAGCTCTTAATGGTTCAGACCTCTTAGTGGTTCAACACTTAATGGTTCAGACCTCTTACTGGTTCAGCACTTACCTATTCAGAAGTTTCCAAACAGCCCCTAAGTCAATCAACTGGAGGTATCTATCTCTTCAGTGCAAACCTTTTGTTATGTAATATTCATAATAAACTCAGGCCCTGATATTTCAACTTCCTCTGTCCAGAATTTCTTCTTCTATAAAGTATGTTTTTGCTAGTTTAAATTTTGTGTCATCTTTCAATTAGAATTTCATTAATTATCTGTAGTTAGTTGGGGAATGATATTGTTTCAGGTTTCAACCACTGATTGTATGTCAGATTAGAACCCTTATGCTTTCAAGGACAGTGTAATTCTTTTTGTATTGAACTTAGGGGATGTTTGGCAACTTCTGAATGGGTAAGTGCTGAACCAGTAAGAGGTCTGAACCATTAAGTGCTGAACAAGTAAGAGGTTTGAACCATTAAGAGCTAGTATATTGCTTAACTATTCAGAGGCAAATGTCTGATCAATTCAGATAAGAGGTCTTAATCATTCAGACTCTGTATAATACTTAACCATTCAGAGGCAAATCTCTTAACCATTCAGACATCTGAACCATTAAGAGGCTGAAACAAACAGTCTGAACCATTAAATGCTGAACCATTCAAACATCTGAACCATTAAGAGGCTGAAACAAACAGCCCCTTTGTAAATCTGTATATCATCCATTTGTAAATTTTACTCCCTCTCCACTATTCGTCCCCTTTTTAAGTTTTTTGTTCGTCCCAGTATTTCTGTTTCATATATTATATTTAGTAGTGTTTGTGTTGCTCACATTCATTTCTAGCATTTCTTTTTCACATCAACATCAAGCACACAATTCCACTTTCCATAGTACACTCCCCATGTTCCAAAATAACCTTCTCACTTTTCTTTTTCGTCTGACCCAAAATAAACATCAACTTCTCATCTTTTCCATTAAGAAATGAAACATGTGGCTCATAAGTATTCTCTCTAAACAAATTTTAATTGCACACTTTTTTTAAAATCCGTGAAGTCAAACCATGAAGTTTATTACATGACATGAATTTTATTTGTTGATTCTGTATGAGTTTAAGGAGAATGCTCTTTCGTTCTTTTAAGACTCTTTGTAGGACTCCCAGGTCCCTCTGTATGTAGAATTGACGAGGATATCCCTTGATTTTGTAATTATTTGAGATTTGGATGCATGTTTTTAAAAAAGCCATTGGGGCATATGTAGTAAGGCCTCAAGGTGAGGAGTCAAAAATCATCTTGAGACTTCATAGCTCACCCATTTAGGCGTAAGCTTTTTGACGTGTATGAATTTTGAACTTCTCTAGTAGTCATGTTTCTCTGAGTCTAAGTGGCACCGGAAATAGAGTGTTCTATTGTTGGGCAAATGACTATTTTATAGAGGATGTGTCTACAATTCCCTTATGGTGGACTAGATGACAGAAACAAGGCCGCGGTGGTTCAGCCATGTGAAAGGAGGGGTTAGAATGTGCTAGTTTGGAGGTGCAAGAGTTTTAGGATTGCAGAGGTTTGGAGAGGTAGGCTGAAGAGGAACTGGCGGAGGCTACTAGACTGGACATGATTAAACTCAAGCTGACCGAGTACATGACCTTACGTAGGAAGTTTTGCCCGTTGAGGATTATGATAGAACGGTAGTAGGGTGTTAAATCTTTCTCGCTCTGGTTTGTGAGGTGAGGGTTATCCCTTCCATCTCCAGTATTTTTATAGGGAACATGTTGACATTTATTCTTGCAATTGTTATCTTTTGTTCACTAAAACTCAAGTCTTCCTAGCCATACGAAAATCATGATATGTATTTTTCAGATTCAGTTAGCTATATAAGTTTCATTCTGCTTAATTTTTGTTCCAAGGCCGAGAGAACTGCTCAATTTATTTCTTGACTGGCAGATTGATCTCCAACATGCTTAACCAATACTCAAGACCGTTGGGAAGTTTTTTTTACTGAATATCCTTAGGAGTATGCCCACCAATTCATTTACATTGATAGGTTTGGAAAAAACTTAATTAAATGCTGAGTAGTATGCCCGTAGAGGCACAGATGACGGACGTTGGGAATAACAAAATGGGGAAATCTAGAAAATGGAAACATAGACCATTTTCTTAGACACATATACTTTTCCTTCCACTTGTATAGTTTTATCATTTATGGCTGGATTTTTTATTAGATTTGGTGATTGTTTTCAATTCGATTGAAAATTGTACTTGTTATGCATGGAGATGTCAGAATTAGTGTATAAAGCTGAAACACAAGTGTTTGTGATGAGTCTATTGTTATATCTTTCCATTTTCTCTCTTCTGCCGTGTGTTGTTGACCGCATTTTACAGTTTTGCATACGTGTATCATGCCCAGCCTTTATTAATTACACTTTCATGGCTCTTTTTTTGAATCCAGGCTTGCCAAATTGTTTCTTAGGGGAAGCAATGGGACATAGACAAGCTACAAATTCATTTGGTACATTTGGAAATGCTCAGAATCAGCATCAAAGCTATATCCCAGAGCAACCTTTTACTGCCACAGGTACTGATCCGGATTGTGTGTTCATTCAGTAAATATCTAGGGACGGTTTTTTATTTAAAAAAAATATAGGAGTGGTTTTGTTGGGAAATCGGACGAAGAGCGTGAAGAACGATTTGATTGACTTGGTGAATTGCGTATAAACACTTTCAGATTAAAGTTATTTTGAGGTATACCAAAATATTTCAATTGGATAAGATGTAGGTAATCTAGAACGAGTATGGAATTTCCATTTTTTCAAAACATACCCTAGAGCCATATTTAAAGGCAAAATTCCGAACGGACGTGTTGGTTGATGAAACAACACAACTTTGGGGTAACATTCCAATGTTTGTACATAAACATTTGAATGTTTATGGCAGATTATGATGAACAATTATTTCTGCAATTATGTGCGAACTGTTGCAACTTATCGTGAAAATTTTGAATGTTTAGAATCAAACATTCGAATGTATCAAGTCGTTTTGCAAAGGGCGCTATGGATAAATATTACATTGGAATGTATTGATTTATACATTCGAATGTACATTACTTTGAACTCCAACAACAACAACAACCCAGTACGGTTTGGGGAGGGTATGTGTACGCAGACCTTACCCCTACTCAAAAGTAGAGAGACTTTTTCAAGAGACCGGGGTTCAATAACACAGATAGCACAAGTGCACCGAAGGTACATAAAGCTGAGAAAGTAAAGAGCACAAAAAAACAAAAAACTGAAAATAACGACAGAGAAGCACATCAAGCAGAAAGCATACCAGAAGAAGGCACATAGAAACAAATGGGAAAACTACCATCGAGTCCGAAATGCCTACCCAACTACCCTAATTTTAGCTCTCCAAATCTTTGTATCTAAGGTCATATCCTCGTTAAGATCCAGAAGTCCGTTTAATAAAATCCTCAGCTCGACCCCGGCCCTCTACCCTTTGGATCCCGCCAGGGGCCACCCCCCCTTGGACCCCACTACGGGGGGCTGCCGCCCCTAGACCCCCGCTATGGAATTTGTAGTATCATTGAACGAGCATGCACTCCGCACCTTCAAACTCATTATCAACGTCTATTAAAATTCTCTTACATTCTAAGTAAATCTCAAATAGATAAAATGGCCGATGCCACACTAAAATCACCAACAGGTTTTGCAGTTCTTATTCTAGACAGTGATTATGCTCCTATCTATACAATTTGACATGTCGTGTGGGTCTCACAGAGTTCGACGTTATGCTTGCAATTTGATAATTAGAACACAGTTTTAAGTGATGTTAGTATGATCCTTTCAAAAAGAAAATGTCACACTATTGTTGAAAATCATATTCTTTACTTTCTCAAGTCGTGGGATCCAACTGGGTTGTTGTTGTTGTGTTACTTTCTTAATATTTGGGAAGCACGTTGAAATGATTGGCAAAAAAAGAAGTGAATTTACTGGAAAGTATTGTCATGTAGAAAGATTCCCACCATGACCAGGTCAAATATATTCAATTTCAGGAAGATTTGCTGCTCCAAGTGGCTCTTTTGTCCAACCCGGAGATGTATTGCCAAGTGGTGAAGACCAACACTTGAATTCCAGAAGCAATGGAAATTATCAATATCATTATTCAAATTATAACACGGAAGCAGTTCATTTTCTCCCACAACCTCCATACATGCCTTTTCAGCAACTATCATCATATGCTGGGAATGTATGCATTCCCGGGAGTAATGGATATGGTGTTGGTCTGGCTGATCATCACCCAAGCATCCATAGAGGGCCATTTAAAAGGAAAAGATCCATCATTGCTGGACCCTGTGAAAGAGGAGGCAGCAGATGGTTTGAAGTTGGAAGCTCCTCTGGATCTTCTGCTGGGATGTTGAGACCAGTTCCAGGAAATGAGAACATCCCTTCAAATCACACATGCATTCGTCATGGAAGTAGTAGCATCTCTATCAATGGTGATGACTCATGGAGGAATGTTAGAAGAAGATATAGTTATGCCTCGGGTCACGATCCCGGTAGAACTCATCATATCTCAGATTACTCATCTGTTCCGCATCAATTTACAACATATCCAGCAAATTACTCTGGTGGCAGAAGCACATTTGGTTCAAGCTTAGGAGGGAATTCACATCNCCCCCCCCCGACAGAAGTGTTACATTGGGCCGTAGATGATCCAAAAAGTTTCTCAAGAGTTTTAGGTTTTGATGTTAAGATAAGCCTAACACATCCTGTTCAACTTACACTTATATATTACATCCAAATCTAGTAGACGAACCAGCATGGGATGCTATAATTGACACCCGTCATCCCATGTCGCACTGAACAATTGAACAACAACAATAAAAACAAACCTAGGTTGATCCCAACTGCCCAAAACTGCATACTCCATATAGAGTATGAAGTCAGGGGAGTTAAATGGGGAATAAACAACTAAAGGGGTGGACAAATGTGTCCAAACTCACTGGGTGTGATCACGACAAACCAGCGGATATGGCTCTGTGTTAAATAATGCCATGTTCATCCCAAAAGAATGGTTTACCTCACAGTAGAATACTAGAGGTTCAAACTGTATAGACAAGAATACTAAAAAAATTACTGATTTCTTATCTAAACCCACAGAATCTGGTGGCTCAAGTCATGACATGAACGCTTTTTATATTGGAGGAGGTGCTGCCGGCATGAGTGGCCACCATGGTAGCTGGTTATCAACTGGAAGGGAAAGATGCATTAATTATAACGGAAGAATATTACCCCCAAATGTTAATGGTTTGGGCCGCCTGCAGCTTGGCCTTTCTGCACCAACGTCCACTGAAAACAGTGTGCTTTCTGCTGAAACATTTTCCTTCAGAAATATGAGGTCAGCTAGTGCTGAAGGATGGCCTGAATGGTGCAACCGCGTGCAACATGGAAGTGTTGGGGTTACTAATGCACTTCCTAGTGTGGTCGATACTCGAGATAGAATGAGATCTGAGGTAATTTTTCTAAGTTTTGGATAGTTCCAGATACTTCTAACTCATGTATACAGCATATTTCACAAATGTTCTATCTTGAATAAGAACCAATAATTAATGTAAGAAAAGAAGTCTTTTTCTAACCTGAATAAATGTCCCCTCTTTAATTATCTTGCCATGTTCAAAATTGTCACTTCGTTTGTTAGAGACTTGCAATGAAACTCAGCCTTTTGGTATTAGCATTTTCCATCTTTGCAATTTGCATACATTAGTAGTCTTCTTATTTCAACTTGAGTGTCCAACTTGTGCAAGAATTTTTGAAAATTATTACTCATTACTATATTTTTAATTCACCTCTCAGTTCTCACCTCCATGTTCATTCTCTATAAAAGAAGGCATTCTCTCATGATAAAGTCACTAGAAAGCAGCAGCCCAGTTAGCACAGAATAACAGCATAGGAATCTGAATCATTGAACGAATCTGTTACTGTACTCTTCAATATTATTAGTTTTTTCCCACCCTCGTGCAGGTACTCACGTTCGAACGTCAATCATTTTCCGGGGTTTCCAGAAACATGTTTGATGATTACGTAGGCATGAGGCTAGATGTTGATAGCATGAGTTATGAGGTTATTATCACTTGTCAGAAAGTGCCATAACATCTTTCAATATGCAGATCTTCTTCCCCCCCAGTCACCCTGTATCTATAACTGACTTATCATATTTACTCCCTTTCCAGGAACTGCTTGCCCTGGGGGATAGAATAGGGATTGTCAATACGGGTTTGTCCGAGGATATGGCTTCCAAGTGCATGACAGCGGAAGGCTTTGTTTCTTCTAATGACGATGACAAAAGTTGTGCCATTTGCCTCGTAATGATTTTTTGCCCAACACTTCAAAAATAAGACGTGTTTGATTCCATACGTAGCCCTCATCACCATTTATGCTTATTTGGGTTGCCCAACAATATAATGCAGGAAATTTATGAGGAGGAAGAGGAAGTAGGGAGGTTGAAGAGGTGTGGACATGACTACCATGTGAGATGCATCACCAAGTGGCTGTCAATGAAAAATGTCTGCCCAATCTGTAAATTGCCTGCTCTTAAGGATGATGAATATTAGTAGTGGTTAGTATTATAGTACTGTAATATTTTAATGCTACAGTTTACTATGATCAACCTCATGTAAATATTATTAATAATCCGTAGTATTGTAAGAATCATGTTATTTGGTAGTCAAGTCTTATTTTCCTTTGTGCACCCTGCACAGTTAATGTAAATTCTGGATTATGACCTCTCTTTGGGTCTTGGGTCCTATTGTATATGCTCCGTATATGGATTGAATGTTTCTCTGTGCTTATAAGTTGGTCAAAATTGGTTATACGTGTTTTTTAACTTACTTGGTCCGTCCATGAGTGTTTGTCCACTTTTGACTTTTGGAACTGTTCATCTAAGCACTTTGACTCATCAAATTCTCTCAATGTGTAAGCCTAAAAATAGTCATGTATGATCTTGTTTGATCCGTCTTAACATATAGATTATTAATATATAATTTTTATAATTTTTTAATATACAAATTACAAGATAAAATGGATTAAAGAAGTACATTGGATGGTTTGCAAAAATGAAAGTGGACAAACACTCAGGGACGGAGGGAGTATAATTTATCTGATGACATGTTTGTGCTTATAAGCTCTGTATAAGTTAGGAAAAAATAAGTAAGTCTTACCTACTTTATTTTTAAGCAATTTTTTTGGTTCTTCGTTTTGACTAGATTATTTATAAAATCGTCTCTCTCCTTTTATGGATATCTCCAAATGAATTCTCTCTCATGTAAGTCATTTTACTTCCACATAAGAATATTTAATGTATAAGCTGCTTATAAGTTAAAAATTATTTATCAACAATTTGTTAATAATTATCAACACAGAAAAACACTCTATTTATTTGCTATTTGAAGGGCCAATTTGATACTCAATATTGTAAGATGAGAACTAAATTTTATTTTTTTCAACTTAATCTTAGTTACTTCGTGTTATGATGTACATGTTATTTATTCTCAATGTCTTTTACCTTATGTCACTAATCTTTATTTGTTGTGTTACAATAGTTTACTAACTTTAGGTCATCTATATCTATCATTCGAGGCTCTTTTATTATCTCAAATTTTGCCTCAATAAATTTTCTCAAAATGGCATTAGTGATGTGGACATAACCTAAAGGTATGTGTCATCCGAGTGAAGAGAGGTTGTCACTCGGAGCCCAATCAATAAAAAAGGGATTGTCTACCCCGAGCGCCTCCACACCTCGACTTGAGAGTAGTGAGGGTGTTCAGCTCATCCTAAAAGCATTATCACAATTCTATTAAAATAAAGTTATGAGTTTCAAAGGTCAACACATTACTATACACGTTTGGCTAGAGGTTAAAATTCCAAGGCCTCCTGAACTAGTTCATTTTTAAAAATATATAGAGTAACAAAACTAATGATTGTTTCTGAATAATAAAAAGTTCATTTAAATAAGGCTTAAATATGACTTTAGTCTTTGTAAAATAGACAAATTTTGTTTTTGGTCCTTGTATTTCTTTCTTTAGTCATCCTTACAAAATTTTAAATTTTGAAAATGATCTTTAAACAAAATTTACACTTTTAATTTGTTGAGATAACAAATTTATTTATGCTCAATATTCTAATATTACATTTCTAATTTGGTCTCATTTATCGAATTACATCACCAATTTCCAAATTTTAGTATATTATATTTCCAATTCCCAATACTAAATAATTTAGAGCATGAGAGTTGTGTCGAAAACCGTAGGAATGCAAGAATTAGATGTTTGGTATAAAAATAAATATGATATCTCAACAAATTAAAATTACAAATTATGTTTAAGGATGATTTTAAAAAAATAAAAAGCAAATTGTAGGAATGGCTTACCGAAAATATATTTTACATGGACTAAAAATAAAAATCATTGACCAAAAGCATATTTAACATTTTTAAAATAATATAAATAACACAACAAAATCAAATATTAGAGTGTTGTACATTTACTTGAACAATGACCAGTGATACTACATTGAAAAATAAAGACATATAATATTATATTGAAAAAATCACTATGTTTTAATACTATGTAATTAAATTACCCTTTATTATTTTCATATAGTTTTTTCCCGCACTGCTCCTTATTTTATACTGCCGCTGTAATCAAATGTTTGACCAACAGTCGCCCAATTTTATGGCCGACCTAATAGGGGGACAAGCAGTCCGTTCGGGCCCGGCCCAAAAATTTAAGAGGCCCAAAAGTTTTTTTTTAATATTATATATATATATATATATATATATATATATATATATATATATATATATATATATTTGTGTGTGTGTATGTATATATGTATGTATGTATGTAGACCTGGCACTCGGGTCAATCGGTTCGGTTCCGATTGGGGTCTTTCCGGTTCGGGTGTCTTTCGGATATATGTTATAATCGGTTCGGGTCAGTTCGGGTCAGTTCGGTTCCGGGTTTATTTTGGTTTGATTGGTTTTCGGTTTCGGTTCGGGATTATATCGGTTCGGGTTTGTTTCAGTTCGGATTTATATCGGTTTGAGTTTATATCGGTTCGGGTTTGTATCAGTTCGGGTTATATCGATTCAGATTTGTATCAATTCGGGTTGTATTGATTTGGGTTTATATAGATTTGAGTTTATATCGGTTTAAATTTATATCAGTTCAAGTATAATGTAAACACATACTAATAAATGAATAATATCACATAATAAATTTAGTTAATTTAGTTAACTATAATTTTTATATACTTTCTATAAAAATATAAAAATATTTTAACTTAAGTTATAAAATACAAAGTAAAATATTTGTACATGAAAGTAGTTACATGGTTTGCACCCATAATTTAAATATGTTTTTTTAGAAACACATTAACATATATAAAAATATATAGGTAATTCATTTTCTCCAAATTCATTTGATAAATGAAATATTAATGAATTTGATCAATTTCGGGTCTAATCGGTTTCGGGTCTAACTGGGTTCGGGTTTAATCGGATTTGGGTCAGAATCGGGTCTGAATACATTCGGTTCGAGTTCGGGTTCGGTTTGGATCATTTTGGGTGTTCGGTTCTATTTCGGTTCTTCAGTTTTCGGGTCAATTCAAGTTCGGTTCCGGGTTATTCAGTTCGAGTTATCGGGTTCGGGTCAGTTTTGCCAGGTCTATATGTATGTATGTATCTATGTTTATGTATGGGTACAAGAAGCCCCCCAATATGTAAAGCAGAAAATTACTTACGGGTGACGCGAGTTTTGTCGAAATAACTCTCAGGTCCCTCTATTTTCAAGAAGACAACTGAGGTCCTTATATTTTGTTGTAATGACTAGGAGGAGACATTTCATCCAATATTTCATCCATAAGTGTTAATAAATGTATTTTTTTCCTATTTTTCCATTACTGTTTTTTCCTATTTTGCCATTACTCGGTTTTTTCTTTTTTAGAAAATATTTTACTCCATATTTCATTTATTTTAATATAATACAAACAATTTTGAATTTTTATCCGATTTTATAGAAGAAATTCTAAAATAACACTTTAAAAAAGAGTAACAAAAAAACAAAGAAATAAAATCCGTGTTTGATTTCGCGTTTTGGCCAGGATGAACAGCTCTGATACCACTGTTAACAATCAATGCAGGAAGCTCCCACAGAATAAGAACAGAGCTTCGAGGATGACTGTTAATGGCGAATCAATTCGCCTAAGAAGAAAATCAGACGAGAGAGATGAGGGGAAGAGAGAGAAAGTGGATTTGCATTATTATCAACTTGATTTACAGATTACAGAATGGGGTATTTATAGGCCTATTACAACAACTCAACAAACTTCAACAACCCAAACAGACTTAACAAACTTCAACAAACGTAACAAACTTCCATCCCTGTAACACGCAGCTGCCAGACACACCGCCGGACGCCGACCCTCAAGCTCCAGCCTCCAGGTATTTCGTATTTCCATATTCATAGCTTTCCAATTTTGTAATTCTTATTTCTTAATTTTCTTTCATTGTTTCATTCTTTAGATTTAAAATCTAGGGTTAATTATTAATTTTTAATTTGAAATTCTTGTTAATTGCTATGAAAGAGAGTGAATTAATGGTTCGCTTATTTGATTTGGATGAGTTGATTTAAATTCATGATATATTCGTATATAAAAAACTGAAAACTTAAAAAAATTGACGAAAAAGAAAAAAAGAAAAACTAAAAAATTGATGATTTGATATGAATTTATGATATATAAAAAAATTAAAACTAAAAAAGAAAAAAACAATTGACGAATTGATATGAATTTATGATATATTGATTCATTTTATTGCTTTTCCATATTTGATTTTACTAAGTATTAGAATTTATGGATTTAGATTTTACTGGATTCATACCCGTGCGTTACACGGAAAAAATTGTTACAAAATACTCGGTATAAATTACAAATATTTGAATCATCAATGTTTAAGTAAATTAAATACGGAGTATAAGTTAATTATATAAATAGAGGTACAAATAAAATTAAGTATTGTACCACATCTTAAAATTGAATATAAACAATTTCACGACATATTCATAAGACGCCTACAAATTATGAAAATTTTCTTTATAAACAATATAACTTGTGGAGCGTGCACGTTGTCCATCATTAGCACAAATTAATGTGATCTATAACTATTCAAACTATAACATACGATATCCATGTTTAAAGGCCTACGTGAGACAACAATTGACTTTGACTTTTGTTTATAAACATCTCATATGAAAATTTCATGGGGGAAACTGTCATCTTTCAAACTTGAGAGCAATTCTTGAATGTGAAAGGGTTAATGACAATCTTGGAATAACAATTTCTCGACACACATGCATACCAGATTAAATTTTACTTTAAATTGAAGTGGTCATATATGTGACTAATAATTTGATAGCATTGTACAACTCTATTGTGCAATTAATATTTCTTAACAACATTATTCATATGCTAACTTTCAAGTTTAGTTAATGGTTTGGAACACGCCAGATACATACATTATTCAAGAATTCCGACAAATGTAGGGAACGTTGTCAAAATCTGAATTGCAATCTGAGTTGCAAACCGTATGAGAACCCAAATATATCCTAGAGTCATTGTTTGGATTCAATTTCAATAAATTGTATTGTGCATGTGGAGTCAATGTACACATTGTTTTATTTTAGTTGTATTTTGAGATGTATTTTAACACCAAGTTTTTATTAAATACAAATTTTTTTAAACATTGCTCCATTTTTTTATTTTCTTAATTTCAGATTTATAAAACATGCTCTATTTAGTACTCCCTCCGTTTCAAACAACAGTTTCTATTTTGAATTTTAGGAAAAAATAAGGAATGCATATTTGTAGTTGACTCTACAATTTTACCATTAATATGATGTATAAAAATAAGATGTGATGTATAAATTATCAGTGTCAGAGTATGATATGATATGCATGGTAAGAAAAAATAGGATTGAAAGTGATTTTTTTAATAAAAAATGGAAGTATTTTCAAAAAAACAAAAATAATGAAAGAAGAATTGTTTTAAGAAAAGAAAAGAGTACACCATATGGAATTACCCAAATTAAATGCATTTTCTTTTTGGTGTATTAAACAAATGAGATTTCATTTCACAACATAGGAGTTTAAAAGAGAAAGGAAAACAATGAGGGAAGCTCAATGATCGGTTTCCGCAGCCTTATGCAAATGAAGCGGCTGACTAATTAATGCATGTATTCCAATTTCCAAGGCTTGATAAAGGCCGTTGATGAAATAGGGCTGGACACGGTACTGGTATGGTACCGTTACCGGCAACGGTGTACCGCCGGTACCATCTACCGTCACCGTCGCACGGCACGTCCCACCGGTGCCGGAAACCGGTACTGGAACCGCCTCAACCGGTACCGGTACCCAAATTTTCGTCCCGGAACTGCCGGTACCGGTACGGTACCAGTACCGTTACTTTGTTTTTTTTTCCTGCACCTGCAACAGATCGGCCAACCACCTGCAAAAAAAAAGAAGGGAAACATTAAAGGGAAGGGGGGGACTAGTCTTCAACGGGAGGAACAAGTGGCCTGCAAAAAAAATTATTAAACAGATTGGCACACTTTAAACAAATCGGCACATGGGGAGACTAGTCTTCAACAGATCGGCACACTTTAAAAATTTTAAAAAAAGCAAAAAAAGGGGGGGGGAGAACCGGCCGGTCCGGTACCGGAACTGCCAGTCCGAGAACCGGAACCAGAACCGGTACCGGTCGGTCACGGTGCCGGTGCCATGGGGTGGCGGTACCGGAATCGGCGGTTCCGGAACCGTCCCGGAACCGTACCGTGTCCACCCCTATGATGAAATATTCCAAAGGGCTTATCAACAGTGGATACACTGGGCGGGAAACACTATTTTTTTTCTTTTTTTGTTCTCCCAATTCTTTTGCTTTTGTATATTGTATAAATTTCAGAAATATTTCAATAGTTATGGCTCCTATACATTTATCCGATAGTCAAAAAAGAAAAAAAAGAACTTCTTGAATACTCAGCTAGCTTTTAGGGTATGTAATTATAATATTATAATTTTGTCATTTACGGATAATAATGTCGCGTTAATTTTGATTAAATATAATTAGTTTACGTGAATTTGTTAGGCCATTAAGACTTTTAAGCTCTTTTTTTTTCTGTTTCGCCCAGGCCAATGAATCCGACCGGCCCTGCCCAATTTCTTGAGTATCTCCCCGCTCTTAAACACTCTACAGCATAGAGGTTTTCCGGCAGAACGATCTCCGACTCACCTTTCCCGACAATGAAGGAGGAGAAGAGGCTAATATCAATTGGTTTTGAGGGTTCTGCCAATAAGATCGGCGTCGGGGTAGTATCTCTCGACGGCGCAATCCTCTCCAACCCCCGCCGCACCTACATCACTCCGCCGGGACACGGCTTCCTCCCCCGCGAAACCGCCCAGCACCACCTCCAGCACGTCCTCCCTCTCGTCAAATCCGCCATGGATACTGCCGGGGTAACCCCAGGAGACATCGATTGCCTGTGTTACACCAAGGGTCCCGGCATGGGTGCACCCCTACAGGTCTCCGCTGTGGTCGTCCGCGTCCTATCCCAGCTCTGGAAGAAGCCCATAGTTGCCGTGAACCATTGCGTTGCTCATATTGAGATGGGGAGGGTTGTGACCGGGGCGGTTGACCCGGTGGTGCTGTATGTCAGTGGAGGGAACACTCAGGTCATAGCTTACAGTGAAGGGAGGTATCGGATTTTCGGCGAGACCATTGATATTGCTGTCGGTAACTGCTTGGATCGATTTGCTAGGGTTCTGAATTTGTCCAATGATCCAAGCCCTGGGTACAACATTGAACAGGTGAGATTATCTCTGAGAAATAGGATTAATTCCATATCTTTTCCATGTTCATTTGAGCCCAAGATTAAAATTTTCTGCTTATGGAGAAACATCAATTCAAACTTTTGGGTTTAGAAGTTGATTTTGTGATCATGATCTGTTTCCCAATTGCCATCCAGGGGGGGGACACTAATGGCATACTCTGTTGTAATTACTTTAAATAGGAGAAACATTTTGTAGCACTTTGATCGCTTGTGAAAATGCAAATATAGTATTATCATTCATCATCATTTGGGATTATTGGAATGAATAAAGAGACAAAAATAGTGTGGCAAATGAAGTAGTTTTATAGTGAACTTAGTGTTTGTGGATAAAGTTGCAAGTTAGGGATCAACAAAGTGAGCAAATAAACATTGCTTTCACATTCAAAGAAAGAGTATTGACGATTCGTTCTCTGTTACAGCTTGCAAAGAAAGGTGAAAAGTTTATTGAACTTCCATATGTGGTAAAAGGGATGGATGTTTCATTTAGTGGAATCTTAAGTTATATTGAAGCTACCACCGAAGAGATGCTAAAAAACAATGAGTGCTCCCCTGCAGATCTTTGCTACTCGTTACAGGTAACATGCTAAATGCATGTACTTAATAGTCTTCCCACTTCATTTTTATATTATGTAGCCATGTAGGCTTAAAAATGTATTTTATCCCTGCAAATGTAGTGTTAAAAGGTGACCAATTTTTTTTCTACAACTAATTGGAGGCAGCTATTAGAGAAATTAGTGCTGATTGGGACTCACCATTCTCATTTTCAATTTATTCTTCTCTCAATCTTTGGAAATATTCCCCCGCCCGGATTTTATTGACCACTTTTGTTGTTCTGTTTGTCCAAAATTAGTTGTCCACTTTCCATATTCAATGAAGTACAACGAATTATCTAAAATACTCTTACACTATGTTTGGTTCAAGGAAATTTGAAGGAAAAGAAAAGAAAATGGTTTTCACTCAATTTCCTCACCAAAATGAGAGGAATTTGGTTTTCTCTTATCTTAACACATTTTGCCTTCTCATTTTCTTTTCCTTCCATTTTTCTTTTCTTTTCCTTTCTAACCAAACAAGAAAAATGTTTTCCTTCTCATTTGCTTTTCCTTTCCCTCTCAAATTCCTTGAACCAAACATAGTGTTAAAGTGGCATATGAACATAGTTGTCTGTAAACAGTCAAGAATTGATTTGTCATTATAACGAAGGAAACGGTCAAGACTTGATTTGTTTATGTGTAATTTCATTTAGGAAACTTTGTTTGCAATGCTTGTGGAGATCACAGAACGGGCGATGGCACACTGTGATAAGAAGGATGTGTTGATTGTTGGTGGGGTGGGGTGCAATGAGCGACTGCAAGGGATGATGAGAACTATGTGCGCAGAGAGGGGTGGGCAGTTGTATGCAACCGACGACAGATACTGTATTGACAATGGAGCCATGATTGCCTACACCGGACTCCTGGCTTATGCTCATGGAGCATCGACCCCAATGGAGGAATCAACATTCACACAGAGGTTTAGAACTGACGAAGTGCTAGCAATTTGGAGGGAGAAGGAATCTATTAAAGGTACAAAATGTAGTGCCGTGACAAATATCTAACCGAGCCTTTCAAGGTTCCCTCTACACCTTGACCTTTATTTTTATTTATTTGTTTTCTTGCAATTTGTTTTTCAATTATAGTGCATGGCAATTAAAACTAAAGCATTCAACTTTTTATCCAGTTCAGCAATTCATCAAGTAAATTTCAGTTGAAAAGAGTGTTCATGATTGTTGTGGTTGTGGTTGTGGTTATGGTTAGTTCATATTATGCATGAATGTTCCAAGTTCATATTTCTTGAAGTTGATAAGCAAAAAACTCTGGTGCCCCTTGCCTCTGTGTCTTGTACACATGAATCTCACATTGTATGTAGTCTTTCTCATAGTATGTTGAAGCAGATCAAGGTTATTACTCTATACTCCCCCTCATTTCCAAATAAACTCCTCATTTCTTCCCATTTCCCTACATCCCAAAATAAACGTTCTTTTTTTTTTAACTTTTTACTCACTTTCCTAAAACATTTTTTTACACTTCACAATACTTTTTACATTTCCATCATCGCATTTCTCATTTTCCAAAAAAACATTTTTACTTTAAAAACTGCAGAGTCAAATGCAAAAGTTTATTTAGGGCGGGAGAGAGTGTCAGTTTTTGCAAGTACATTTTCCCTTTTCTAATTTTTTACGGAGAAGGGTATTGAGTAATACATGCATCCTCGGGGTATTGAGTAATACATGCATCCTCCCTCTCAATGCAGAAGTTTATTGAGTAATACATGCATTCTCCTCTTAGAAAAGGCTTTTGTATGATGATTGATTGTAATTATTTTTTAATCAATTTATATAAACATTGGCAAAAAGATACTTCCTCTCCAATCGGCTTTTTGGTTTACGATGTTTGACTGGATTTATTTTGAATACATAATTTGTTTGAGAAATGGAGTTAGAATTAAAAAAAATAAAATTTGTATATTTAAAAAATACATTGAAATTTGTACAAACAAAAAGAAGTGACATGGTAATTTTATTTTCTCAAATTAGTAACGAAAATAGAAAAAGGAAGTGAATGAAATTTGACCTTATGTAGACATCTTAATTTGGGACGGAAATAGTAAAATATATTCTCTCCGTCCAAAAATTATTTTTGCATTGTGCGTTATGATGTTTGATTGAAATTATTTCCGACCCATTTTATATGAAAAATGGTGTAAAATTTAAAAATAAAAATCACATAATTAAAAATTACATCAGAAGATCTAAAAAACTAGAGGTAGCATAACTATACTATTTTATCAAATAAGTAATGAAAATATGAAAACAAAGTGAATAAAGTTTAAATCTTGTGAATATTGAACGAGAAAATAATTTTTGAACAAAGGGAGTATTAGTTTAAAACTCGGGAAAAATTTATTTCATTAGTCCAAAAATGTATGAGTATATATACTCTCAAAATTTAATAAATAGTATCACTCCAAAAATGTAACTACTCCAAAAATTTAAGTAATTACTCTCAAATTTAATGAATAATATCACTCCTTTTAAACTATTAGTATTCTTATATGTTTACTTCAGTGCTCTCAAAATTGGAACTTCCTTCACTTCAAAGTACTCCATCCCGAAATATTTTTCTCATTTGATTTTTCTTAGTCAAAATTTATAAACTTTGACTCTAATTTGTTGAAAAAATATACTGTATTATGTTATAAATCTAATATCCATATATTTCTAATGAAACATAGTTTTGAAATATCAATTTTTTATAAAATATATCTATAAATAGAAATATTAATGGTTAAAGCGTAACATTGGATACCATGAAAAGTCAAATAAAAAGAACATTTTCAAAAAAAATATTAGTTTAATTTAACTCTTTCAAGTTAAATCTAACAAACTTTCATTATCAATTATATGTTGTACTAGGTATTAAATTTGATTTACAAATTTGATACAATGAAATAAATTCTTAAAAGCTTTCAACAAGACAAATCTATTGAAACCATTTTTGTATTAATATGCAATGAAATTTTTGATAATTTGATTAAAATTTGCCCAAATTTGACAAATGCTTCCATGTCAAATCATTGGCCTACTTAATGTTGGAGCACAGATATATTCATATAATCAACTCCATCATTCTGCGAACAATGATGCGAAGTACGGCAACGAAGAAACCACATCTCCATTCTAGTTGTCTACAACTAAAAACATGTTTTTTAAAGGACAAATTTCTTGTACCAAATAAATTTTATAAACAAAAAAAAACGTTAAAACAAAACCTTTTGACCTGCATTTTCCAATCAATTTTCCAGTATTTGATTAGTGTGTGCAGTTGACTGATCACAATACAGTATTACACTACTCAGCCTGGTTATTATATACAAATATCTCTATAAATGACTTCAAAACCCAGGGGATTTGCAAAATTGGACCGGACCCGAAAGAAGAAAAAATTAGATTTGCCTAACACGATTTGAAGTTGCCATTTCAAGTGATGACTAGACATTGAATTAGATTTCAGAAAACAAAATTTTAAAATCTAGAATTAAAAAAATATATATGCATCATAAATGAAATCTGCTTGGATAAGCGCAAACCTGAATGAAAACTCCAAAGTGTCGCAACAAAACCTTCTTCCTTCACATGCCTTAGTAAGAAGAAGTAACAAAGAGTAATTTCTTTTAGATATCAGAACACAAACGAGAATCCAACCAGTAAAGAACATTGCAAGTTCTCCAATTAGAGTTCGGCAAACCACTGGGTGTAAAATTACTGCTGCTGCTGCTGCTCATAGATCTGCATATATGCCTCCGAGAGTGCAACGACATGTGAGAGTGTCTCTGTGACATGCAAGTCTTGCATCTCGAACCTGTAAAATGCACGGGATTATGAGTGAGAGCGAATCCCTAAGGGCAATAAAGAATAAAATAAAATAAAAAATGGAAAAAAAGTGGGGGGGGGGGGTAGGGTTAACCATAGGCCTTCCGACTTGCGCTGTACAAATGCCCGGTAGGATCCTTCCCCGGGCTTCCCATCATGCACAATATTGGCAATTAAGTCATACTTGGACCCCAACTTTTCCTTTGCATTGGGTGGTGATGGAAGTGGGATATAGTCCTTCAGCTCTAGGTTCTTCACAGGGAAATTCACTGGTACAAGAAGCAAGATGATAAATGCTTGTATATATCACTCACAAATCATAGTAAAACAAGCTGCCGAATATAAAGCACTCATCTACATCTGATTCCCAATCTGCATTTAATAATATACATACCAAGAGTAGGGTTTTTCTCCACAAAGAAATTGTTTTTCGTGAATCGGCGCATGTGGAGAATTAGATACTTCGGCAGTTTTGTCACACGATATCTCATCCTTGCTAAACGAGGTCTCACAACTTCCGTCACAGTCTCACCATCAAACTTCTTAAGTATATTGAACAATGGAACCTACAACAGAATTCCAGTAAAATAAAAACACTCATTATCATATACTCCGCATTAATTGCTTATCTAAAAAGAACTCTGCAGCTGAAGAACAATGGTACAAAACAAACCTGGGGAATAATGTTTTTCTCCAGAATATCTTGGAAAAGTGGAGGTGGTGGTAAATCAAGCCCTAGCATCAAGAAAGGCATTCTACTTGTTTCAGTGATAAAATTGATTGCCTTATTTTCAGAATCACCATTAGTCTCCGCAACAGGTCTACTATGCATCTCCTTCACCACCTCCAACTCGCCCTGCAACAAAAGAAACACCATTACAGTATAGTCAATACTAGCGTACGAGGAAAACCGTATTTAAAGAAACAATTCCTTTTAAGAGCAACACCTGAAAGCAGTTGTAGATAATACTGCTGCTTTTCTTTGAAGTTCTCAGATCGGTATGGAGGGTATTAAGAAGCCATGACATAAACTCAACAGGATCAGACTGCACACCAATTCGGAAACGTTTTTTGCTTGACTTCATTACAGCTTGCAAGAACTCGTGTGGGCTGACCTGCAATATCGCAATGTTAAAGACATTTCCAAACTACATTATCAAGGTGCAGTTGAGGAACAGTAGCAACCTGTCCTTTGAAGTTCCTGGCATGCCATATCTTTCGCGTGAGCTCACCAAATCGATGAACCAGTGGGGATTTGATGTGTTGATAATTTTCAGGGATAAGAAAGAAATTCCTCAAGGGAGTCACACGCATTAAAGACTGAATTGTAACATTGACAAAATCAGTCTCCTTAATGTTATTCAGCCCCACCTAACAGATTTAGACATGAAAAATTAGAATTTGAGTGGGAAAAACATCAAATAAGCATTTAGAACAAAAAACATGAAAATAGAAGCACGAAAATAAATTGAGTAAAACAAAACCAATGTTTGCTACCGTTCCAGGAAGATAATTAGATCCATCAAGTGCTCTAGACCATTGTGTATTCTTATCAAACTCTTCGACTTGTTTCTGTGAAAATCTGGAAAGCAATAACAAGACAATAGCCTGAGGAAAAACAAATGGACAAAAAAAGAGAAGAAAAAGAAGTTGATGAAATCAATCAACAGTGGTTCTAGCCGTTCTAGCATACCTAGGATACAGAACATGTCGAATATCATCAAGTGATGAATCTATAATTTCATATCCATCAGGAAGACAATAAATCTTTTCTGTCCGCAGATTGATGTAAACATGGTGCCCTGCTTCAAGACTATGTGTATAGGCATGAGATTTCGGTCCCCTTCCTTGGTAATACTTCCCACAAACCAAACACGCATACACGTTTAAATTTGTGAGAGAGACAGAACAAAACTTCTCAAAGTCAAAATCCAAAACCTGCAAAAAAAGGCTAAAATGAATCAGAAAGCAAGCCACCTTGTTAAACAATTTAAAAGTTTCAGTGACACGTTTGATTGATCCATAGGAGAAAGGAAGAAAATGAAAAAAGAAAGACAGAAATTCAGTTTCCATATAAGCTTACAAGAACTGATAAAAATCGGAATAGAGTTAAAGCAAGACTAACTAGAAACCTAAAATGTAGTAATTTTTTAGAAAACATGCAATTATCCAAATATATATCGCAACACGACACTCAATCATTCACATATAAGCACATAGCCCCATGATACACAGAAACATACTAAAAACAAAAATCTTTTTAAATTTTTAGCATCGCCCTCAAGAATAGGATGAACATGATTTTATTGACTAGCACATATTCAGCTCTACAACTTCAAAAAGAGCTAGATGCACAAAACTATCTGAGAACTTTACTGTATATACAAACTCAGTGATGAAACAAGAATTAGCAATGACCTGTCTATTAACTGTATCAAGGTAAGGACAGTCCCTTCTCACTTCAACCATTCGATACTGCCTACCTGCAGTTCCTTTGCCACTCACATCTTCATTATCATCCTCTTCACCATCATCCATGTTTTCACTGCCCCCCATTCTTCCTAATACAGAATTCTGATCGGTTTTGTTGCAATCATCCTCATCATCATCGTCATCATATGATGCAAGCGGAAGAAGTGCATTATCAAAGGCAAGCTGAGCAGGAGATAATGAGTGAGATGAATGATCTACTAACTTCTGCTTCTTGGGCAAAGTTTCCTCGTCTAGCTTATTGTTTTCAGCACCCCTCTTTGTACTCATTATCTGGTTAAGATTACTTGGACCTTCTTCCGGACACAGTATTGTTTGCGGTCATGGTTAGATAACATTAAGCTAGACAGCTAGTACAGAACTTGAATGCAAAAGTGTAGTTTCATTATTAATCAACATTTATAAATTTTAACAAGCTGATGAAAAGTCAGAACTCAATAATCATAGTTTTTAATGGGATTCAGATAAAGGCAATTAAGAAATCATGAGACTACAGTTAGTGGTTCTCTGTTTTGAAAACATCATGATCTATCATATAAACAAGTGTGTGCACGTGTTTGCACCTGAGCTTTGATACCTTCTATCCAATCACAACAACTAACTAATTCTTCTACAGTGTTTCAAAATTGTACACTTAGGCTCCGTTTGGTACACGGAATTCAAACTATGGAATTGGAATTGGGGGCAACAATTCCAATTCTGTTGTTTGGTAGCACAATAATGTGTGGATTTGGAATTGGTAGTACCAAAAATGAATTGGAATTGTAGAACTCAATTCCATCCAAATTAATTCCATAGAATTTCAACTCCCAATTCAATTCTAATTCCGTCAATTCCATGTACCAAACAGACCCTTAGCAACATTCTCTAAAACTCCAACCTCTCAAAACCTGAGTTTATGTATATGCATAATAAGTAAGGTATTGCAAATGATTGTCTAGAAATGGGTTACCAAAAGACAGTAGAAGCTTCCGTTTCAAAGTTCGGTGAAACTATTACAAAATGAACCGCAAATGAATTTAAGCTTGTCAAAAGCAATAATCTAACAAATACACACATATGTCAGCCAACGTGGTATTTGAGAAGAAACCCCTTGACCCCAACACTAGGAGCTGTCAGTTTTTTATTAATGAGCTAACATAACCATTTTTTAAAGAATAACCATTTTAAAATGCCCGTTTGAGAAACAAACATTCTGATCCTACTCAAACACTATATATTATCATTGGGATTGTCTGCACGGGTCCAGGAGTGCCACAGAAAATTTTTAAGGCAAAAAACACGATAAAAAAGTAATAAATTTCATCTCCTCCAGGCATTCAAATAATTAAAATGAAAAAGTCCCAAAAAAATATAACTTCACTTTCATATTCTATTCTTGTAATTTTAAAATGTTTCACTTTTTGAAATTCAATAATGAATTTGTCCATGACTATAATTTCTAATATAACAATAAAATCACATTATTATAAATTATAATCCAACAAATAACCAAAAAAAACAGGGGTATCGGATCTGAGCCAGGCCAGCCAAATCAACCAAAATTCCACAATCAATTGCAAGATTAACACAAACAAGATCCTAATCTACGAGTTAACGCTGACTATAGATGTTCGGTCAACGAATCACCTCGAATTTGACGAAGAAAACTTGAATCTGAGAGAGGAGAAATCACCGCTGCTCGACCCGTCACCGCCGTTGTGCCTGTCGGAAACCTCGCGTGCACCGTCGGAGAAGGGGAGATGGCGTCGCCGGCGCTGCCCTCGTCGGCTACCTCGAGCTCGCGCACGCCGGCGGAAAGGGAGGGAGGTGACAGTCGCCGCTGCAAGCTATTTTTCGTTCGACCGCTGCGCGACGGAGAAGAGGGAGCGGCGGCTGTCGGTGACGAAGCTTGGCGATGCTCCCGGCGACGTGCGGCTACTGGTTGACGGCGACGAGGAGGGACGGCTATCAGAGGAAACGGACACCGAGCAAAGATCGACGGGAAGAAAGAGTGAGCGTGAGTCATAACACCTAGCAGAGGAAAGATTGACTTTTCAAAATACTAATCAAATTCTTATGTTTGGGAACATAGATTTGGATTTCAAATTCGAATTTGGCTCAAATTCCATGTTTGAAAACTTACAAATTTTGAATTTGGATTTGAATCAAATTCTTCTCATTCATAACAAAGCTTAATTTTAAATCCAAGCACCTCCCCTTGTCATTTGAAATTCAAGATTTCAAATTTTGGAATTGAAATACATGAATTGAAATAAAATCTTAGTTGTCAAACACTACCTTAATGTGAAAGCCTAAATATAATCATGTGTGATCTTGTTTGATTTGTATTAACATATAGATTATTAATACTCCCCCCGTCCCGGAATATTCGTCCAGTTTTGATTTTTGGAACTGTTCATCTAAGCACTTTGACTCATCAAATTCTCTCAATGTGTAAGCCTAAATATAGTCATGTGCGATCTTGTTTGATTTGTCTTAACATATAGATTATTAATATATAATTTCTATAATTTTTTAATATACAAACTACAAGATAAAATGGATTAAAGAAGTGTATTGGATGGTGTGTAAAAATGTAAGTGGACAAATATTCTGGGACGGAGATAGTATATAATTTCTGTAATTTTTTAATATACAAATTACAAGATAAAATGGATTAAAGAAGTGCATTGAATGGTGTGTAAAAATGAAAGTGGACAAAAACTGGGGGGCGGAGGAAGTACTATAAAATTAATTAAATTCCAGGTTCCAGTTTACACTTTTTAATCAGATAGATTTAAGCTCAATTACCTTATTTGGCAATCATATCTTGGGCCCAATAAGTCTAATTCTCAATACGTTTGCGCGGTCTAGTTCAGAACAGCGAGCCCTACAACGTAGGTCAACCCTCATATTAAATACACAAATTAATAAATAAAATTTCGTATTGGCCGATTTAGTAGTTAATTAATTATATAAATTAATTAAAAATACTAAGTCGGGTTTTGGGGCGTTACATGTATAGACTCTTCAAACAGTGTCGGTGAATCTGGTGTGGAAGACCCCTCTGTAGATTCGACACGATCCAACCGTTCAAACGCAAACGTTTAGAAATTATCCTGTTATTCTTTCCAAATAATTTGAGTGTACCAATTATTGTAATCCTTTGCAATTTATGTCATGAACTTAACTACTCAAATAAAGGATCCTAATAAAGAAATTTTTGTTATTTGTAGAATGAGTCAAGAAATCGTCCACGGTCAAGGCAACAACAATGTACACGTGAGTGTTCATACTGAAACATCTAGCTTCACCCCTCCAACCCTAAATGAACCTGTGAACCCCCAGAACATCCCCCAAAATCTGGGAAACGATGTGATTGCTAGTGCTCAACATGACTACAAAATTCCTGTCTTCCTGGCAAACTTGCTCCAACAAGTGGCCAATGCTCCTATGTTTCAACCGCCACCGCCATCGCCACAATGTGTGATTACTTTCAAAACATTGAAAGATAATGGCGCCGAAGAATTTCTAGGCGATCGTATCGCTGAACCTCAGATTGCTTGGGACTGGATCGAAAAAACCGCTCAAGTGTTTAGAGATCTAAATGTACCTCTTAACGATTATTCGAGACTTGTAGCACAATTACTTCGTGGGGAAGCCTACGAGTGGTGGAAACACACTGACGAGAGCGAAGAAACCCCAAAACCATGGTCATGGGAATTCTTTGATTGGGCCTTCAAGAAGGAGTACATTCTAGCACATTTTCGTGAAGAGAAGCGTACGGAATTTATTGAGTTGCGACAATGGGATATGACGCTCTCGAATATCGCCAAAAGTTTGTCCACCTTTCCAAGTTCGCATCGACATTGGTAAACACCACAACTAAGCATATTGAGGAGTTCAGGTGAAAACTCCGACCTGATCTCGGGGTGAAAGTGTCTATCATACCAACGGTAGATTTTACTACGGCCTATGATTTGATTTTCAAAGCGGACAAAGACCTAAGTGCTTGCAAGGAATACCTGAAAAAGGAAAATGCTGGTTCAACTGATCGTCAACCTGCTATTTCTGCCCAAGGAGGAAAAAGACCATTCTAAGGACCTAGCAACTCACAATACTCTAAGAAGGGGAAATCTGCGCAAACCCAGTCAATAGCATCTGTTCATAGGTTGAGGAAGTGGAAGCACACGACATGCGAGTCATGTGGAAGGAATCATCCTAGGCAGTGTTAGCTTAAAAAGGGCTTATGAAGGGAATGTCCCACAAATCCTGGAGAGCCATTTCCACATGCACCTGTCACCTCTCAGACGGCATCAGCACGTCCCGCTCCTAGTCAATGTTCAGAAGCAGGATCCGATCGTGCTAAAAACCAAAACCAACAACAAGGACGAACTTCTGCCCGTACCTATGCAATGAAAGGACACGCTGAGGAAAACCCTGACGTCATTCAGGGTATGTTTTCCTTATTTGATAATGTCATGCATGTGTTGATAGACCCTAGATCGACATTATCTTATATCTGTATACCTATGCCTGACAAAGCTGACATACTAAAAGAAAACTTAGAACACTCTATACTAGTGTCTAGCCCGTTAGGACACATTATGTAACGCCCGCCCTCCGTGGACCCGGTTCACCCGCGACCCAACGGACCGGTAGGGTTACATGGACAGTCCGAGAACCATCCGTTACGAAAACGTTAATGATTATTTAATAAGAAAACGGTTGGGTTTTAATTAGAGGAATAAATGCCAGGGAGTTACTCCCAAAACGTGTGTAATAAAAGTGCAGAGTAATTGCGGAAGTAATTAAATAAGTTCAGTCCAAACTAAATAACGACAAGGGTGGGTTCATGTCCAATTGATTAATGAAGTTATTAAGAGTTCGTCCGTGCGCCGCCCATCTCCCCATCGTCACCGCTCTCCGGGGTTGGCACCTGCTCCGTCATGTCTACCTGCGTGTAGCAAAACAACTACACGCTCAGCAAAAGCTGAGGAGTGAATCTAACACAAGAACATAAAGTGATAACCCATATGGCTATACCCATATCAATACCTGTACTTAACGTACGGGACACCACACGTTACTAATTGTTTAGTTTTCATATGTTAAAGCTGTTTCGAATAACAAGGAACACAATGATGATGATATGACTTGATGCATGACTTAAACTATCAGGGACACCCCTGGCTTAGTCTTACTCGACAGGATCACCCCTGCACTCCGGTCATCGTCCCCGAACGGTAACGAGCCGGGCACGATGAAAACATCGCGAGTGGACTAGCAAAACCGGGTAGTAGCCGTAACCTGACAACTATGTACGTACACAAGCCCAACATGATGAAAACCCGCTGGTCCCCAAGGGTTCCTGGACGGGCCCACTGTAGTAGGCGCTTGAAGTCCTCCCTACAGCGGTATGCATATGATGGAAACCTAGAACATCCGTCTAGAACGAACATGATGGTATGAATGCATTGATTAAAGGAAAGAGTTAAATTCAATTCTTACACATGTGCTTGATTATGATTTGTTCAACATGATGGCCCTGGGTTCAGAACTGGCTGATAATCGATTGTCTGCTGTTGATAATCGATTATCATGCTGTGCAGCTTCTGTCCCTAAAGTCCTGCAGACTGTGATAATCGATTGTCACCCTATGACAATCGATTGTCAAGTTGGTTTATCAGAAAAATCCTAAGTTCAGAGAGACCGGATAATCGACTATTGCTCTGTGATAATCGATTGTCAAGTGAACCAGCTCTAACTCAAGAATCCGCAGGGTCTGATAATCGATTATCACTTATGTGATAATCGATTGTCACACTATGCTGGATCAACTGAGGAGTTCAGCGTGACCTGATAGTCGATTGTTCCGTTCTGTAAATCGATTACCAAGGCACGCTGATTCCTATTTTGACTGTTTGGTTATCATCAATACGTTGGGAGTTTTCTTTGAAACGAACGTTTATGATTACATGTTAAGTATTCCATGAATATACGGAGTTTCAAAATGCTTGTATTAACGAGTTCGTAACTTGATAACACGGACTCTCGTATGTTTGATTGTTAACCTACGAACATGCATAGATTCTACGTAGGTTGCGTACGATATTCCTATGAGTATAAAGACATAGATTATAACTAAATGTTCTAGAATTAGAGGGACAACTACTCACCTATAAATGAAGGGATTGATGGAACGAGATGAGCGAACGGTGCTAACGAACGGACAAACGACGATACGCTTCGCACGAACGGCCTAGCTCTTCTTCTCCCTCAACCTTGCACGCACCGGAGCTTCACCGGAGATTCCTGGGTTGCTGCTTATCTTGGCCGAAAATGAGAGAAGGAGAGAAGATGAATGGTGATGATGGAGTTGATGATTGA